CCTATCTCTTAAAAAGTCGTACATTACAAAACCTAATTCTATGATTTAGCACAAAATAACGCCTTCATGGCATTTCTCCTGGAAAAACTACACAGTAACAACAATGCACATGAATTAAATTGCAATTTTAAATACAAGGCCTGCTTTGCTTATTAGTGTGGGCCGTTGGGTTAGGCACGAAGCCTGCGCCAAGTCTGTATTGTCCAATATCAATCAAAACTTTATTTTAAAGGCCGTTAAATTGTGAGATTTCAGGTTCTCATGGCGATGACCATGAAGGCGACTGTCGTTTGGGTTGTTGAGCCGTATAGTCTGGTAGAAGTTTGCTGATCGAAGTTTACTTATCGCCCTGAAGATGGAGTCAGCAGTCGCCTATTAAACGTCAACAGACTTCTATCAATTTACACCGAACAACAACTCAGAAGACAGCCATCTTCATCCGTTAAATTATTTAGAGTCTGCAGCAATTTGTTTGTTCAGACGTGTTGGTTCAGTTTTTCGTAAACTTCTAGGTAGAAGGCCCCACTCATGACATCAAAAGAGTTAAAAGTTGATACCAACGTCACACGTCAAAGAAAGTCATATTGAGTGTTTACTGGAACAAATCTATTTTTGAGAGACAACACAAATAGACTTTTGTGTCGAATTGTATAATTTAATAACAAAGAACTACGGCGTTCTCGTTAATTATATATTAGAGGATGACGGGGTGGGTACATTACATGCTCATTTTTTTTCTTCGCGGTATATTCTTCATGTCTGTCTGTCCTCACAGAATTTTAAACATTTCAGTAGTGAATACAGAAATCTGCAGTTGCAAACATAAAACTTACTACTAATGTGGTATTAACTCTGCATGTAAAACAATTCTCTAACCTCGATTATCACCTAAGACATGACCTAGGTACGGATTTTCATAATAAGTAACTTCTAATTAAACACTTAATTAGTGGTGCACAGAAATATGACAAAAATTCACACCAATACATATATTTCTTAAAGAATGCGGAAATTTGAATCGCATATGAACGATGTTTTGCGTGTTGGAACTTGGAAGTCTGACTGTAGTCGTCATACTAATGCACTGACTGGATAGCTTTATAATCCGGCACTACATGCAAGAGGATAGTAAATGAAAACGAATCATGTTTTAGTAAGTCGTCGAACACGTTCTTTGTAAGATAAGAATTGTATACAGCCATTTATTGCCTCACGACGTGTACTTCTCGTTCAGAATGTTAACTGGAATGTGGTATGACTATTTAGTGCGAATCGAATAATTTCTTGCGAGAAAATTTCAGCTCAAGTTAAATTCATTGATACTGTAAGTGCAATTCTCTTGCAATATGGTTGTATATTTATTTATGAGATAAAAAACGACGCTGTCAGAGAATAATTAATTGGAAAATATATGGAAGAAAGATACTGTAAGTGCAATTCTCTTGCAATAAGGTAGTATATTTATTTATGAGATAAGAAACGACGCTATCAGAGAATAATTAATTGGAAATGATATGGAAGAAATCGGTTCTGAATACATTTTATGAAATATTCTACCTTGAGGAATGTTCTTTGTTGATGGCAGCCGATGGTGGCAAGCTATTTCACAAGAAAGAAACTACCTCTTTGCTATGGTGTCATAGAAAATGTCCAGTTGCAGAAATTGTGTAAACTATGCAAACAAAGTGATTAGAAACGTTAATACAATGTGTTCCTCAATTTATAATGGAATTTCCTTCCATATGAAGTCAGTAAGATTCTTCTTTGTGTAGGAATACAGTGTTCTGTAACATGTATTTCAATAAACAAAAACCCAAATCTTTACCACATTTAAAACAGGTTTCTTAGGCTGTACACATTTTATACCATAAAATTTTTAAAATTAAAAGTTTTCACAAATAAATGCTGACTTTCTGTAGCACGAAGAAGACATTCCACATATAACACAATTTTATTTCTGTACTTAAACTGCAACTTGATTATCTGTTTAAGAATGACGATAGGTCTAGAAATAAATGTTTTTCTTCGACAGACAGATGCCTAGTTGTATCCTTTAAAATAATGAATTTGTAGAATCCAGGATTTGGGTTGAACTTGCTGCAGAGATTTTAAAGGCCCTCGTTTGAATGTCGTAAGGAATATCCCATGACGTCACATACGACGTCATGCAATGTCTTCGTTCGATAAAGGAGCGTGCTTATAAATCGCGTGAATGTTGTTGCATGGTGGAATTTCGTTTCCTGACGTCGCGTCGGTACTGCAACTGTCAGGTACACTGGCGTTTCTTGAATCGATGGAGGTCTTTCTGTCGTCCATCATCTTGCGTGCCCTAGTTCCACATAGTCCTTTCCAAAAGGCTCCATATCAAAGCTCCAGCAAGGAATTCGAAAGAAACCATAAGTTTGCTCACACCTGAAATGGATAGTTTTTTTAAGACCACGTTCTCATACGCAAGTCATTCTTAGGCGTTTTTATAAGACTAAAAACTTTCGTCCAGACCAACTGATTCCTGAGGTCACAGCTGATGAGAACCTCCTTCCGTGCTGAATAGTCCTTCTTGAGGAGCTAATAATAGGCTTAGCTAGTGAAGAAATTTCCCGCATTTTATGGAACAGTAGTTAATTCGCCATTTTTGGACATTGCCCACTGTCCGAAAGAGTCAGTATTTGATGATATATGGGCTATATGACTCTGGAGAATAACATATACTCAAATTTTTATGGTGTTTGTTGTAATATATTTGTAGAAGAGTAGTAATTTGGCGCTCATGGCAGCCGTAACATAGGACCCACGTATTTCTACAATACTCACCAGATTTGCAATCTAGATCCTGTGTCTGCGTGTATATGTATCCACACTGACAAATTCCATTTCGACATTCAACTCTGTCCGTTTCCTCAGATTCCAAATAACATTGGCTGTTAATTTCGCATGCTTCGCCCAACACTGAAATATCATGAAAATCATGAGTCACTTAACACTGACAAAGTGTAAGTAAATTTTATTATATTCAACAGAAATTCTAAAATCATATGGAAAATTGTGTTATAAGTAGTGCAGTTTGCATGGTGATGAAATGTTTACGTCTGTGGTTTGCTTGTAGCTAAACGTAACACATTTACTCCTGTATTCTTAAAAATATAATTTAAAAATACATTTATTATTGGCGTGTCACATGTTTATAGAGGAAACAGCAGATTTTTTTTTGGCCGAATTTTATTAAATTAATTTTTGAACTGTAAGTATAATTGAATCTTCATGATTTTGCATCTGGGTCGCTGTTACTAAAATATTTTTGTTAATATTTAATATGTTATGTTTATGCTTGCCTGCGGATTTTAAATTTGTTACACGTTTGTATGAATGTAATAACGTGAATGTGGAACGTTGTCGAATCCGCATATAAAATAAAATTGCGTAAGATGTGACGGTGTGCAGACGTAAAACGTTCTTACCGAAACTTCAGATTATTTTTAATGATTTATATTGAAATGATTTACCCCTCTTCTCCCTGCAAGAACCGCTTCGAAAATGATAGTCGTCCTTGCACGCGCATATTCCGTCGAGACAGGAACTGCCTTCTTGTCCCAGAGCCTCATGACACTGCACGTCTTCCTCACATTCGCCTCCATGAGCTGTTGCAACTGCGTGCGAAATCAAGAACATGTGATAATAATAATTAGGACTAATTGAGTTATAAGCCTGTTTCCATCACAGAGAAAATTGTGTTTCAAATCGTTCGCTGTTTCAAGAAGTCTATCTTAATGAGGCGAGTGTTTGTTAAAACTCAGTTTCCGTAACCTAGATCTATTTTCTTAAGACAATAATCATTTATTCACTTTATTACAGGCACTCTATCTAAAATAATGGCTCAGCGCCTCTTGTCTTAGAAATACGATCTCAGGATGTCAGAATGTGGAAACAGCTTTTTTGTTCATGTACACATATATACCAATCCACACACAAAACCAATAAATAATTAATCTATTTTAAAACTTATTAAATTTTAAGTATTGTAAGCCTATTTAAAGTGTATGAAAAGTAGCCCTATGTACTATTTGAAATTCCTGTGTAATGCAAATTAAAGTTTAGGCCCCTGTTACTATTAAATAAGGGAGTTTAATCAAAATTTCCGACTTATAATTCATTAATATAGCTCACTTCATTTAACGCTGGCGAAGCGATACACGTTTTGTAAATAACAGAGCAGTCGAAGAATCTGCATCTTAAGATGGATGTCTTCTTGGTTGTTGGGCCGTGTAGTGGGCGATCGCCCTGATAATGGAGGCAGCAAGCACCTCTGAAACGTCGGTAAACTTCTACCAGACTACACGGTGCTACAACCCAGAAGACATCCATCTTCGGACTCATCGCCGTGAAAACCTCAGATTCTAATCTGTATCTCACCTGCTAAACACTTGGTGTTGCCTGCGTTGGGGATGGTGGTGTTAACACAGCCGCACCTCGAACCATCACAAAACGAATATTCGACATTGCTACAATCATCGTCATTTGTGCAATCTCCACCGATACCTGAAATCAAAGTCATGTAAAATATGACGAAACAGAAACACAACCTACATTGCGCGGTAGAAGCAACACATTACAGAATGTCTGGCCACTAAATAAGGCACATAGTCAGTTTAATAATCCCGAAGCCTTATGAAATGCCTTAAAGATAAACATTTATTTGTTTAAATTATTAAATATTTGAATCCTTAAAATTATTAACGCCAGTCCAAACATTCCTTTTCAAGGGGATATTTAATGCATTATTTTTATTATTTCTTTTAGAAATTCATAACCAATTGCTGTAGTAACAACTGAATGTGCAATGTTCACATTCTTTATTGTGGACTACTTTCCCGTTTTGTATTATTCCACATTGCGACGAAAATGTTAATAATGTTCTTAAAAGTGCACAAAACAGTCTTAAATAAGTTAAACAGTACATCATAACTTTTACGGTAGTATAATGCTGTTCAGTTCTGCGATGCAGATGTTTCATAATGTACCAGTTCTTGTATTTATTTTTATTTTTAATCGGGTGACTTATCAAGAACAGTTGCGTGACCTGTTATGTGCATAGTGAATTATGCGACGTAATATCTGATGGCGCTGCCGAAACCTTTTTAGTTAAACCGTTAAGTTATGAGTTGAAATTACAGTGATTCGATCGTAGAATTTTTTCTTCCTGTATTCTTTTTTGTATTTCCGTCTTTCTTTTATGATTGTATTTTTGCGCTGTTTTATTTGTCGTTTTACTCAATATCTTGAAATTTTATTTTAAGTGTTAAAAACATATAACGCTCAAAGTCGTATTACGTGAATTTTTTATATATCGCATAAGGATAAATGGATATAATTGTAAGGTTGATGGGTGATCATGACTTACGTCTTAGGTCTTAGGAGCTGAAGCGATTCTGTGTAAAAATATACAGTAATAACTGTAGATATGTATTTCGAGATTAGTAAGAATGATATCAAACCGTTTATAATCCTAATCAGATCTCCTGTGCTTCAACGGCGAGTGTTTAAATAAATTCTCATTAAACCAGACATATTAAACTCGCGGCCCTTCCATATACGATGTGAAGTTCACAGCTGTCGGATTTAATATCTTTTTTTTTTAGTTTTAGATTCATATAAAACAGGTATTTATATATTACTGATTTGTGTTTCAATAAAATAAAATGAAAACGCAATTAATATAATTCACACTTGTGTGTGCTTGTGGGAAAATAGAGGAATGAAAAATACATCTTAAGTTTAAGCTTGGAATTAGTAAAAGTAGGTTAGGTTAGGTTAGGTTAAGATTTCTCCCTTCAAATGTAACGATATTATCTTTTTTTTTCCCAAGCCTTGTTCACAAGACGTCGAATATGACAAGCCTGTATTAAACGCTTTATTGATCTAAATGCTGGTACTTAATGGTAGTTATCAGTATCATAAAATGCCATCAGAATATTAAAGATAACACAGAGAAAAGTAAATGTTGAACCGGTCTGTGGAACGAGTGTTTAATGTGTGTTTGGCGTGTTTTAAAAGAGACGCGTGATTTGAGTCTGGCGGGGCGAGAAAATGTTAGGAGGCGTTACACGAGGCGTTTGAATTCTTAAGAAGCAGCGAGCGAGGAAGGCAAAGATTAAGATTCATTGTGATTGTAATCTCACATTCTGTCATCTTTTCTGACGAATTTGCTCACATATTCCTTTATTTAATTTACGTCATGCCTGTGATATTATGGGAATTATTCAGGGGCGGATTAGATGAGCGGCGCATGTAGCATGAATTGCGGAAGTTCGAAATTTCTTTGGAAAGTATCGAAGAAAGTGAAAAAATTGTAGAAAAACTATTAAATAGTTTGGGTGCGAAGGCGTAGACTGGATTAAGCTGCATCGTGATAGGCAAAATACACAATTAAAACAAAATTTCTCGAGCAACTGTGATATGGAATTAATTAATTACGCTATCTGTTCCTGTCATTCTCATTGTCAGTGTGTGCCGTGTTCTTACTCACCTGTGAGGCACAGATTGTTCGCGGTCTGATCTTCAAAGTAGCCGCTGTTACACTGGCATTTGTTACTGACGCAAGATGAATGCGGAATTGCAAGGGTGCAGTCTGTGGTATCCAGACAGGGGTCGTTGATCGCTACGAACAGAACACATTTGTTATAACAATCTTTGGAAAGAATGTCTGATACAGTAGTCACTTTAATCTGTCTCAGATAATTCTCGTTATCACACCTAGGTCGATCAATGTCACGCTATCGATAGAACAAATCACTAAATTCTGAAAGGAAATGGCTGGGTGAAACTATTCAAAATGCTTGCATGTGATGATGTTTATGTTATTTTATTTAGTGTTCTGTCTGGCGACAGGTCCATATGAACAGGATCCTTCCATCCTTTTCTCGGACTGGGACCTGTTCATATACGTTCTTGGCAGATGATCCAGAAGTGGTTTGCCATTGCCTTCTTCTGTGTGTGAATGGAGTAATTGTTGGGATTCCACGGAGGACAACTCCGTGTTGCCTAGACCACGGCCTTGCCCAACACAAGTTATAAATTCGGGCACCGCCGGGAATCGAACCCGAGACCCCAGGATTACAAGGCCAGCGTTCTAACCGCTAGACCACCGTGGCGGTCGATGTTTATGTATCAAGTGAAAAAATTATAAGGGTTTATTAAAGCCGAGGTTTGTATATTTGTCGTTAGGCTAACTTTTGCAAGGGCTAATAAAATAATTTCTCCCAATACGGGCCTATTTATATTGCATTATTGTGTTGTCGCTTTTGTACTCGTGTTTGTCTTGTGCTGTTAAGACGTAATACTGTATAACAGCACTGATTGGATAAAGATACTGTCCCAATAGTGCTATTTAGATGTGCGTACTAAAGGTAGAGTTGTTCTTGTGCGTAGATAAAGTACAGGGGCAGATAGCGGCGAAGCTCCACACACACTAGGCTCGCGTCTTCATCATCACGGATCAGTGGTAAGCACTCCTGCTTTGTGTCCGGGAGCTCTTGGGGATCAACTATTCTGACTGGCATTTAGTTGTCTCTCTCAGGCCTCCAGGCATTTACCGGGATCGTACCTTAAATTAGGCCACGCTCACTTCCTCATCATTACCAATACATGATATTTATTTAACGACACTGTCAGTAGCTCAGACTACAGAAGCGTTCATTCTCAAGACCACTGGTGAAAAGTTCTCCGGTAAACATTGGACAGGAGGCTGTGTGGGCTCCAGAGTTGGTCTGAAAGCAGTGGTGTTGAGAAAAATTTCTGTCGACCAACCTGAATCCATCTTTCCTGAGCTAACCTGGCTCTGAGATACGATGTAATAACTTTGCATTGTTTTGTAATACAGTTGTTCAGTTTTCTTTACGGAATTCAATTTTACTATACGAGGCTTCTGTTGGTCATAGTCAGTCCTTTCAACTACCTCATAGGCCCCGACTTTACGTAGTCCAAGAGTACATTCTCTGACCTTCGACATCCGGAGTACAGTCGCCTCTTGTGGCATGGAATCCTTCTAAGCAACTACAAGTGTTCTCTGCACAATTGACATTCCCGCTGGTCACCAGGCAGTCATAAGAGTAATCACACTGTTCACCAATCCCTGAAATACAACAATGTTAATTCTTTCTAAGAGTTCTTATAAACAAATCAATAAATTATTGTAACGCAAGGCTAGTAGATATAAACTAAACACGATGCAAATTAATGTTACGCTTATGTGATAATACCGACTAGTATAAATTTAAAATATTCCTGCATAAAAATTATCAGACATAACCACAAAATTCACACTGCTACCACTTTTGAAAATCATATGAAAATATGTCAACATTTTGAAATTTTTTGAAATATATACTTGATGCAGAATTTGGAAACGTATGTACCTGTAATTATTTGTTGCTCAGAATCTGAATAGAGCTATTACATTAATTTTATAACAGTATGCAAATTTTTAATGTGCTTATTTGGAACTATAAGCTGTGTAATTACTACAAATTCTTAATGTAATTAATACTACTAATCTTCTTAAAAAAGTATTCAGTAAATTTATACGGTTATCGTTTTGAGCTTAGGTTAATGTCCAAGTAGAGTTGTGTTTGATAATAAATACTTCTTTCATTTGAGATAAGTTATTTTCGGGCGCAGTTAATTCAAGACAACAAAATAACGCAATGGGACAGGCGTTGTAGAGGGAGCGAACACTGACCTCTGGTCACCGAGCAGAGTTGGATCTCATCCACGAAGTGGTGTCCAACAGCGCACTGGCAAAGGTTTCTGTTGCCAACAGCAGCGCATACGGCATTGTCCCCACTAAACATGCACTGTTCTGGAACCTGACATTGCGATCCGTACAGCCTGCCTGCAAGTAAGTGAAGACACTTACCGACGCATTTACTTCAGAGTTCATGGAAATGTTTGTTACGGAGTTATCTGGTATTTATTACGTCACAGTTAACATCCAAAGTCAATTTGTGCAGACATATTTAAGAAAATAAATCGTACGACGGTCAAGGACGGGCGTATGCATCAATGGCGTTCTCGTGTGTTAATTCCGATTGATTTCTTCGTTAAACCGTTAAATGTGTTATGCCATGAACCTAACATTTTATAAGACATACCTGTGAAATAACGTGACACCCGTAATTAAAAATCTTTTAATTTCCTTTGACTTAAATATCCTATCACCATTAATAAAGCTTTAATAATGTATATTTATTTGCGTCACCTGCATGTTTGCAGAAAAATTTCCGAAGTAAGAGGAATTCTTGTGTAGGCATAATTTCATCAGTATTGTTTATATGTGTATATTGCCTCAAGTAACCGTTTCTGTATCATTGCCTGTAAATTACTGGGGAAGTTATTTAAAAATTGAAAGAAAATCTTATTATATCCAATGAACTTCAAGATACATTTTATGAAACAAGTTAATGACTATTTTTAATATTTTTAATAAGTTAATGACTACTTAAAATCAGTTATTTCATTTATTTCAATATCGATCAGCTATATTTTACACGATAACAAGTAATAAAACTGGCAGCCATCAAAAGCGATCACAAAAGTTGCACCGATAATAACAGAATATGTCTACGTCGGCCTGGAAACGAAACCTAGCAATTATACAATTCCTTCGTGCATTCACAAACATCACACTTCTCAGACTCACCAATTCTACACACCCTGTTGTTTTCTGTGATGATGTATGGAGCTTTGCAGCGCAGTATGTTGCCCCTGCACTCTGACTCATCCATATAGTCAACATCTCCTGGTTCAGAGCAAGCCTCACCAAGATCTATGAAAATGATAGTTGCTCAAATAGTGAAGAAATTATGTGTTTTTTTAAGAACACAAAGGTGTATTAACTGTCCTTAACCTGAACCACGTTAACCCAGTTCACACTATTTGTGTTTCTTTAATGTCTACTTCAAGACCAAGATCTTTTAAGTGGTCTCTTCCGTTTGAATTTTTCAACCAAAATATTGCATGAATTTATCATTCCTCACATTAGACGTCTTATAGTACAGTCACACTGAACAGAATCTTCACTGTTACTAAAATTATATTTGTGATAAATTAGATTTGCTTTAATTCAACCCCCTCGTGATAATTTGTTTAGTTCGCAATTAAGTTATTTATTTGCAATATTCATTATTTTTAAAATAACTGTACTGTTAATCATTATGATGTAGATTTGATTTGTGACGAATGTTGATATGTGTTTATAAATATGTCGTCAATGTCTGATTCCACAGACACCGTCAGATCACCAGCTACACACATCCTAACACACAATTAGGCAATTCAAACACGACGAAAACAGAAAAAATGTGATTTCATAAACATAAAGTAGAACTTACCTGGTTTACAATCTTCAAAAAAATTTGAGTACCCCGGTTTACATACGCAAATATTTGCGTAACATTCGGTATGATTTGTAGTAATGGCACATTCCTCCGACGTTTCACATGCATCCCCAAGTTTTGTTTTCAGATATTCCGCATCGACTTCTGAAGAATATATGGATACTGCATTACCTAAAAGCAGGAAAATGCATTGGAAGTGTAAACATTGTTGTTTTGTACGTTATCAATTTTCTTTCCAGAATTTTAAATTTGTGAGTGGAAGGATATTTGGCTCTTCTTTGACTGAAAGTAGTTCTAAATAGTTTTCTAGCAAATCGAGGCATTTTAAAAATTTTAATTTATTATTGTACCTTAAATGCAAATAAATTCAAATATGACAATTAATTATTTTCCTTATCTTTTACGAATTACAATTCGAAAACAACTTCTGAAACTTGAATCGTATTAGACACTAGCGATACTCCTTTACACATGACTGGATAATTAAATAAGAATAAAACAAATTTGTTCAGAAGTTTTATTTTATATACTTACACATTATTAAATTTTCCGGTTTGATTCTTTTGAATGACTAATTTTGAGGGATATTTAATTAGTTTTCTAAATTTAAACTAATTGTTCTTGATATAATAAGTGGACTATTTTGGATTTCTTTAAAAATCGTGATGCATTTCAACAAGAATTATATTTGACCATTTTAATGAAAATTTATACTGGAGATATAACACATATGTGGGCCTACCAGGGATGCTTGCCTGTTATTTATATATGCCTTTTACTCACCGTCATTAAATAATGCATTTTTGTTTTCTTCAGCTACAGAGACACAAATGTTTTCATCACAAAAATTCCCGTCAGACTGGCAGTCCATGTCAAATACACACTCCTCTCCAACTGTGAAAAAAACAACAACACATCTCATCTATTCATAACATTTCGTGGTTAATAAACCGGCCATTTTAATCTCCTTGTCCTGTAACTCGGAGAAGTATGCGTTATCACAATTTACTCTACCCAGTTTTCATAATCTAACAGTTTCTCGCCTGGTCAATAAATTCTCCGCGTTTTATGGAATACAAGTATCATTACTGTGTTCATAGGATCTCGCCATATTGAGTCACATGACTCAAGTCCACACGATTACAATCAATAGAGTGTTAAGATCTATTTTAATATTATTCTCCAATATACACTAATCTCTCCCATGCAGTCTCTTCTCTTAATGTTTTCCACGTGAAATTTTGCGTTCATTTTTTATCCTTCTAATGCGTGCTACAACCTGTTCAGACGATGATAGTCACACTTTGTATTTATTCCATTCAGCTCTCTCCGCTGAAAAGTCTGTAATGAACGTGAATCATGGATATTATGAATTTTTATTCATAATATCCATCATTCACGTGCTTCGAAGCTGCAGAAATGAGTTTAATGATCTCGTAGGACTGTATTTATGGACAAGGATTAAAGAAATTAAGAGACAGTTTTTACTGCAGATTAAATTTGAGTAACCAAAACAAATTAAAAATACAGGTAAACAGGATGCCATGTCTTGTATATCCACGTCAGTATTTATTTTATAAGCCTGACGGAAAACGAGACTTTGGTCGCCCACGTAAAAGATGGAGGGTTAATACAATTCAGCCTCGGAACGAATCGTTGGCCCACATGTTGATGGGAAAAAGATCATGAAAAAGGCTACATTGATCATGTCAAGACAATGCAAGACAAGAAGGGAATATGGGTCATTGTTATAACTAGATCTCCGACTAAATTTACCTTCACTCACCATTGCCCATTCTTCTGCAATAGCTTTTCCCTACCAGGTAGTAGCCTTCTGAACAACTGCATCTGTTTTCCACGCAAGACAGAGATTCATAACTGAATCCCCCATAGCAGTCGTCATTTTGAACACAAGGCTCACCGTATCCTGCGAAGAAAAATATTTCAAACGTCTTCGTCTAGATTGGTCGATGGATTAATCTGAAAACTTTCGAAAAGGCTACATCGAATATTATAAATGATTGATGTGCCCTTGGTTTCTGTGGCTTTATTCAGTTTTTCCACTCAAATATGTAAATATTGCATGAATAAGGTCTTAGAAACATCATTTAGGTTTTTCACGCGTTCTCCGCCCTTCAACATGATCGCAAATCTCCTTGTGGGGTTAACGTAAAGACCGTGCGGAATATGTCAGTAGTATACAGTAAATGGCTACGGAATTGATGATCGGAGTTTGATTCCCGGAATGAACAGGAATTTTCATCGTCATCACATCCACATCTATTCTCGGGTCCACCGAACCGCCGATATAATTGATGCTTTTTCCCCCGAGGTTAAAGCGACCAAAACGTGAATTTGTCAACTCATATCCATTTCGTTCCAAATTTAAGTGCATATTGTGGGGGACAAATTTACCTTTCCAGGGCACTTACCAGAACTCTTGTGGCAGATGCCATGTAGGTAATGGAAATCGGCATTGCACACGCAAATCCCCGCTGAACATACCGCCCCCTGCCCCATCCTGGTGGAACACTGAAGGTTTTCTTCACAGGCTGACAAGTACGGAGTCGTAGCCACTGAAGATCACGACAGCAAACGCCATAAAAATTAAACAAAACGTTGGTCAGGGAACCTGAAGATATCATTTGAATGACCTAGCTATAGAAGTGGGGATAATATTAAAGTTACTCCAAATTAAATAGGTTATAAGGGTGTAGCTTGTATTTAGCTGGGTTAAAATATACTCGATTTTTTGCCTTTTGTAAACATCCAGGTTTTCTAAAAAAGAGAAGGGATATTTTTAATCAGTTTAATTACTGTTAACTGCTTACCAAAGTCCACTACCGTGAATGTTATCTTTAAAAAGCGATGAAAATGTAAAACGGGACATTATATGAGTAGGTTACACACACTTTCTTGAATACAACTCTGATCACCTCAATTGACGTCAGTGTTCACTCACCTGGCAAACATTTCGTCCAGTCGCCGCTTATGACGTAGAAATCGTCACAAACACACACGTTTGTAGCTTCATCGCAGCTGCCATGCTGGAAGCACGCTTCAGAGGTCTGTCCGCAGGAAGGGCCCAGTTGGACCTCACGGTTGCTCGCTAAAAGCACACAGTTCAGAGTGTAACGAGCCAGGACTGCCGTAGAAGAACCCTGGTATCCCGACTGAAGTTTAAGGCGGTTTCCTTTAGAGCCTCCAGGTGAATGTTGCTATAGAACGTTCCCAAATTTCTCTGTCCAGAAATATCTTTTCACCCCTTGCTATTCTGAATAAACCTTTAAGTTGATACTGTATCATTAGAGTGACCTCTTATTCACAATATCGTATCCACCCGGATGCCCCCTGTTTAATTACTGTCGTGAACCGAGCCTGTTACTGAACGTTATGTATATTCTCAGTTACATAGCCCTACTGCCTTAAGTACATTTTAATATTATCATCATTCTGCGTATAGGTATACCTATTTATTTTTATTTCGATTTTCTGACTAAACTATGTTTATATGTCTCTGTGTTAAAACACTGAAGATGACTCAGTTCTAAAGGTTTTTGACGACGGTAGTTTACACTTAAAATTATTCATTGTCAGGACTTTTTCCATCATCCGTCCAACACAGTAGGCACTTCTCACCTGAAGACGGAGGCAGAACCAGCCTCCGAAACGTCGTGGGTTTTAAAGTACAGACGATGGAAAATGTCTGGAATAATTTTAATTGAAAATGACTGTTCTGGGACCTTACACCGAGTGTGTCTGTTAAGTTTCTCTGTAAAATCGGTCTCTATCCACCAGACAGCACGATACACCATCCCAGAAGAAATTAATATTTATTCTCTTTGCCGTGAGAACCTCAGATAATACCCAATAACGACTCTGTTTTATACTGTGTTAATTTGTCAAGTCACTTTCTTAGTAGGCCTGCACTCATATTGCCTTTTAGCATAAGTGATCGAACTTCGATTCTTTCTGCACAGATATCGCACATTTCCTAAATGACTGTTAACTGACTCTTATACTTGTAACAGCAAACAGCAGGTGAACTTTAATCGAAGAAACATTCTAGATAACATTTCGAACAGGTGTTTCGTGAAGATCCCACCTTCTAAGAAGACACTTATCTAATAACTCGCCTATCACGTGAGGGTGGATCTAGAACAATTAAGATTAACAGTAATTTAATCAAGTGGCTCTCTTGCTTTCTTATTACGCGTACCGAGTTTCTTGGCCATGATGAATAAGCTGGTGTTCTCAGGGAAAATTTAATCACGTGATGTTCAAGGTATTTACCTTGAAAATCATGTTAGATACACGAAGTCCTTATGTAAAAGTAACCAATTATCTGTGTAGAATTGATTTCATGTTTGTAGACCGTTCATGAGGTATCAGGTGAAGATGGCTGTCTTCAGATTTACCGCCGTGATAACCCTAAATATCAAATATATAATTGAAGTGGACCATACAGAGTTTCTGTACTGGATTTATCTGACCCCAGATAGCGACCAATATTTTTCCATTAATGTTGAGAATTGTTAATACGAACCCAACAGTTCAACGACGAGCGGCAGCATCACCAAGACAGGTCCTCTAAGGATCATGATGGCACTTAGACTGAGCACAGTCCACAGTTACAATGACATGTTAAAGTTTTGTACTTTCCTTATCTTGATACGACTTCATTATAAAGTCTAGAGATATTTCCTGATAAGCTTAAATACTGTATTAAGGTAAAACGACAAGAGCTGGAAAATTATCCTCAGATAATGCACGTGCATTTCTGATTAAACTGATTACACAAACACACAATGGCAACCAGGTGCGCGAAACCGCTTTGACTGATTCCATAAATTATCAAGTTGGCCGTCTCCTGCGTTGTAACGCCGTGTGGTCTGGTCATCATCGCCCTTATCATCAGGGCGATGAAGATGGAGGCAGCATGGACCTCTGAAATGTTGATAAACTTCTACCGGAATACACGGCTCTACAACCCAGATGACAGCCATCTTCGGACTCTACAGCCGTAAGAACCTCAAATCCTAATTCCATTAAACTGAAATTTGCTGATCAGAATGAAGCTGAGCTCGGCCGTCATAAATAAGGTTATTAAGAACACGGATAACTAAATTAATCAGTCTTAATTTATAAATAACAGGTCTAAAAAATAGTGAAACAGAAATGCAAAGGTCTTAAAAGTAATTGATTAATAGAAGGGTACTTTCGGATCGTATGCCCCCCATCCAAGCCGTCCTATTAAATATCTACTAAGAAAAATTAATCATAATTTCGAGATCTATTCAGAATTAGAACAGGACTTAAGGGGTAATCCGCAACAAAATTAAAGTTTCAGTGCACTTACAACTTTTAAAATACTTTTGGAAAATGATTACAACATTTTAATTGGATAATCTGAAAAGAAAACATCACTTGAGAGACTTGGGCGTAGATGAAAGAGTAATGCTAAAGTGTATCTTAAAGAAATACATGCGAGGAAATGGATTGGATTTATCCGGTTACAAACAAGAATTGCTATGGATTGTTGTAAACAATAATTATAATTAACCTTTGGGTTCCACACACGAAGGAAAAGTTTTGACTAGCTGAGCAATTGTTGGGCTCTCAGGAGGGACTCTGCTCCATGGAGTTAATTGATTTAGTTAACTCAGACATGAGATCCGCAAATTTCACTCTTTGTTTTCTTGTTTCTCGTTGCTGGGAAACTGATATTCGAGTCTTAATCCTTTCATGCTCTCTGTTCACTGCGTTGTTAACGAACCTATTCTGAGGCGTCCTAGAAAACATTTCCTGTCCCATTATTTGAGTGAGTTCCATGCACCGGTACTGGAGTGAAGTTGAGATTGTTGGCTTGATATTTTGAATATGAATCGATACTAGTAGGAAGTTTCGTGTCTCGACCTTCTCTTGTAGTTCTTCAACTGGACCTCTGCGCAAAAGTGTCACAAGAGCAAAATGGGAGCCTACCATTTTTCTTGCGTGTTTCCATGTTCCACACGCATTCAAACCATCTCTTCAATAGGTCCGAAGTCTGATCAGGCAAAAGTTGGATAATTTAAAGAAACTCTGTGAGGACATTTGTAGAACAAAATTCGTGTTTAATATTTCTATTACAAGCTATTATTAGATATTTTGTAACTGCTGAAGTGTGAGTGGGAATCTGCATCTTCTATTTATATCTATTACAGCATAGCAACAGACGTATGACCTACATGAAGAAATTCTTATGAAAATACACACTTATTTAAGCCGTTCATACACCGAAAGGCATAAGATGGCGTGGTTAGCTGGGCAGTGCGTGTCAGATTAGGGTGGATTAATTGTGTCGACTTCATGGAATGTTTCATTAAAACTTGTAAGTGTACGTTACTAAAAGGAAAGAAACTGTAAGATAAATAACAGCAGCGCAGTTTACTGTAATCTTAGAGAGCAAATATTGCAAGGAGGAATGAAAATCAGGCTATCTGCTGCCACAAAAACCTTCAGATTTTATTGAAATGTGCAAACGTTTTTACAGCTTTTGAGATTTGTAACCTCAAATTAATTACATTCATCGTTGCCATTGTCATCATCATCACACTAATCCTCACAGTTCTTGTTACAGTTATTATTACTATTAATATAATTAATTACAAAATTAACTGCCCTAATGTGATATTAAGGAAATCAAGAAAGGAGACAACAAAGACTTGGATGTACGAGGTGCGATCGGAAGGTTTCCAGACTGCGCGTATAAAAACCCGTACACTTATCTCAGGTATTAAATTCATCAATCACCCTCGAAGTAGTTCCCCTGGGAGTGAACACAACGATCCCAGCGCCGCTGCCAAGCCTGGAAGCATCCCTGGAAATCTTTCTTTGTCAGCCTGTCAAGCACCATCTGCGATTCTCCCTGAATCTCTTCTATCGTCTCAAATCTCCTTCCCTTTAGCTGAATTTTCATCTTGGGGAAGAGGAAGAAGTCACACGG